TTTCTTTAATGGAAGAATGATGCTGTTTGGCCTCAGCAACTTAGCAAGGTCCTAAGCAATCAGTGAGACCCTGTCTCTATATAAAATACAAAAAAAGGCTAAGGATGTGGCTCAGTGGTTAAGTGGGTTCAATCCCTCGTACCAAAAAAAAAGAAAGAAAGAATAATGCTGTTTATTGCAAATGTTGATTTTTCTAAAAATGCAGACAAAGTTCACATTACAAAAGGTTTTTTGGAATACTTGATATCACATTTTGCTATTGCCATGGTTATTTCTGTAATAATAACAATGTAGACAGTACACAGCAACAAAGCATAAATTCAAATTTCAAATTTTGTTACAGGTTTTGATTGATTTTTATTAACATAATCAACTGAGGAACTGCCAAATACTCTTTTTTTTAATATTATAGACCAGTGTTTTTTAATATGTTGTGTCTAGACCTGTACTTCTATAAAATTACCTGGAGGTATTTGTTAAAAATACAGGTACCTAAATGCTACCATCTTTCCCAATCAGAATATCTTCAGTCTAGCCTGAAGTCTGTAATTTAATAAGCAATACGGGTAATTCTTAAGTACACTATTGTTTAAGAACAACTGATACACATCATAGCCCCAGTATTGTACAAGCTTTGTCCCTGCTTTTTTGGATGTGTTTTATACTCCAAATTATTTCCTAATGTCCTCCAGTTTTTTCATGTCTTAAGTCAAACAGCAACTTAAACCAAGGAGAACTAGTCTCAGTTCTGGCTCTGTATTAAGTAGCCTTCCCTACTTTAGATTACCTGAAGAATTTCTGTTCAAATGTTATTGGTCCATTTTCTGTTGTCAGTACCACAGCCTAAGTAAATTTTTGTTTGGATTTTTGGTTGTCTTTCTTTTTAGATATACATAACAGTAGAATGTATTTTGACTATTATACATACATTAAGTATAACTTCTCATTCTGTAGTTGTACATGATGTGGAGTTATACTGGTTGGATATTCATATGTGAACTCATATGTGAACTAGGAAAGTTATGTCTGATTTATTCTACTGTCTTTCCTGGGTAAATTTTAATGTAAAGAAGTTTCTTTGGGCTCATGGTTCTGGAGGTTCAGGGTGGAGGGGCCACTTTTGCTGGCAGAGTTCCCAGGCAAAGCAAGACATCACATGGCAAGAAACAGAGAGCATATGTGTATGTCTCATCTAGTCTCTCTCCCTCTTCTTAAAAAGTCACCAGTATTTAATCATGAAAGCTCCACCCTGATGATTTTATCTAATCCTGATCACTTCCCAAGACCCCAGTTTCTAAACACCATAGTCAAATTGTTTCTACCCTCTTAATGCTTTGCAATGGGTATTAAGTTTCAACACATGAACCCTTGGGGGACACTGTCAAACTATCACCAGCCTTTATAGCCTGTGTTCGTGTTTATTAGGCTTAGAATATAATTATCATTTGTAAAATAGGGCCACTCTTTGTTATTGTGAGCATTGGAATTATTATCTCTTGATTCATTTAAAGAATGTTAATTTAGGGGACAATGCTTAAAATGAAAGATTCACTTTATTCTTGTATTCATTGGAAGTGCAATTTGGAGAAGTTTAAAAGAAATCGTTGTACTTCAGTCTCTTGAATATATAGCCTATAATTCTCTACTAGGAGGCTCAATTCTTTTCTGCATTTCTGGGATTGAGTTAGTTCCAGAAATATTATAGGCCACAGGACTTTTGATCTTCTTTTTGTTATATAGAGACCAAGGGAGCTAAAGAAAGAAGCCTTCTAACAAATTGTTCAGCTTTCACTCCTGTAGGAGTTTCTGAATAAAAGAAAATAAGGAAATAACAGCATGTCTTAGAGAATTGAAAAGTTTGGCATTCCATTGCAAAAGTATTCATTCCAGTGTAACCTTTTAAATTTAAGTCCACTTAATCTGTTTTAAATAAGTTTCAGAATCTTCTTCTCTTCCAAGCACAAATCCCAGTGGTCCAGGAGGCTGAGGCAGGAGGACCGTAAGTTCAAAATCAGCATCAGCAATTTAGCAAAGCCCTAAGCAACTCACTGAGACCCTGTCTCAAAATAAAAAATAAAAAAGGGCTGGGAATGTAACTCAATGGTTAAGTGTTCCTGAGTTCAATCCCCAGTACAAAAAAAAAAAAAAATTAAAATTTTGAAAAATTAAATCTCCTCTCAACTCCTATTATACTAATATTAAGAAATGTCACCTCCAGAGTCAAATAAAGAAAGTAAACAGTACCTTATCAGACTTCTTTGTTCCCTAACTAGTTAAAATAACAAAACTATAAAGCAATGCAATCTATGATCAATATCTCCCTTTCCCAGGCTACTTGGAGGCTGAAGCTGTAGAATGCATAGTTCAAGCGGAGCCTGGGCAACATATTGAGATCCTAACTTTAAAAATAAATAAAATAAAGGAGGGCTGTGGGTGTATAGCTCAGTTATAGCATGCTTACCTGGTATAAACACGGGAAGGAGAGAGGGAGGGAGGGAGGGAAAAAGGTAGGAAGATCAGAAAGGAGAAATGAGTGAAATTTGGGTATTCTTATATGGTTACCATAGGTGGAATACATCTCTCTTTTTTTAATATTTTTTTTTTACGTTGATACAGCAGGAGTGGGAGCCGTTTATTGTAGGACAGGAGGGGTATATATACATTCCACACAGCTTATCTTAATTAACATAAACTAGATACAGCAGTCAACCAATAAGGAATCTCCACACTTAATGGCTCACTGGCTCCACCTCACAAACCACTCCCCCTGGCAAAATGCCAGGCGCCATCCTGACTTGTTTACAGACTCTAGCACAGTCCCACCAACAATGTACAGTGTTCCCTTCTCCCCACATTCTTACCAGTATTTATGATTGTTTGAGGTTCTTGATAATTGCCATTCTAACTAGTCTGAGATGAAATCTCAGTGTAGTTATGATTTACATTTCTGTCATTGCTAAAGTTTTTGAACACTTTTTAATATACAAGTTGGCCATTTGCATTTCTTCTTTTGAGAAATGTCAGATAGTTCATTTGCCCATTTATTGATCTGGATATTAATCTCTCAGAAGTGTAATTGGCAAAGATTTTATTCTATTCTGTAGGCTCTCTCTTTATGTTCTTAATGATTTGCTGTGCAGAAGCTTTTTTTTTAGAACTTTGTTTTGAAATTAACTGTCACTATAATACCATCAAAATATGAAGTATTTAAAGATAGATTTAACAAAATATGTGCAGAAGCTTTTTAATTGGATGCCATCCCATTTAGAGATTCTTGGTTTTATTTTTTTTTTTAATTTTTTATTGTTGGTTGTTCAAAACATTACATAGTTCTTGACATATCATATTTCATACTTTGATTCAAGTGGGTTATGAACTCCCATTTTTACCCCATATACAGATTGCCAAATCACATCAGTTACACATCCATTGATTTACATATTGCCATACTAGTGTCTGTTGTGTTCTGCTGCCTTTCCTATCCTCTACTATCCCCCCTCCCCTCCCCTCCCCTCCCCTCTTCTCTCTCTACCCCCTCTACTGTCATTCATTTCTCCCCCTTGTATTATTTTTCCCTTTCCCCTCACTTCCTCTTGTATGTACTTTTGTATAACCCTGAGGGTCTCCTTCCATTTCCATGCAATTTCCCTTCTCTCTCCCTTTCCCTCCCACCTCTCATCCCTGTTTAATGTTAATCTTCTTCTCCTGCTCTTCGTCCCTACTCTGTTCTTAGTTACTCTCCTTATATCAAAGAAGACATTTGGCATTTGTTTTTTAGGGATTGGCTAGCTTCACTTAGCATAATCTGCTCTAATGCCATCCATTTCCCTGTAAATTCTATGATTTTGTCATTTTTTAATGCAGAGTAATACTCCATTGTGTATAAATGCCACATTTTTTTTATCCATTCGTCTATTGAAGGGCATCCAGGTTGGTTCCACAGTCTTGCTATTGTGAATTGAGCTGCTATGAACATCGATGTAGCAGTGTCCCTGTAGCATGCTCTTTTTAGGTCTTTAGGGAATAGACCGAGAAGGGGAATAGCTGGGTCAAATGGTGGCTCCATTCCCAGCTTTCCAAGAAATCTCCATACTGCTTTCCAAATTGGCTGCACCAATTTGCAGTCCCACCAGCAATGTACAAGTGTACCCTTTTCCCCACATCCTCGCCAGCACTTGTTGTTTGACTTCATAATGGCTGCCAATCTTACTGGAGTGAGATGGTATCTTAGGGTGGTTTTGATTTGCATTTCTCTGACTGCTAGAGATGTTGTGCATTTTTTCATGTACTTGTTGATTGACTGTATGTCCTCCTCTGAGAAGTGTCTGTTCAGGTCCTTGGCCCATTTGTTGATTGGGTTATTTGTTATCTTATTGTCTAATTTTTTGAGTTCTTTGTATACTCTGGATATTAGGGCTCTATCTGAAGTGTGAGGAGTAAAGATTTGTTCCCAGGATGTAGGCTCCCTATTTACCTCTCTTATTGTTTCTTTTGCTGAGAAAAAACTTTTTAGTTTGAGTAAGTCCCATTTGTTGATTCTAGTTATTAACTTTTGTGCTATGGGTGTCCTATTGAGGAATTTGGAGCCCCACCCCACCGTATGTAGATCGTAGCCAACGTTTTTTTAATATTTTTTCCGGTCAACACCCAGAAACTGCTCTGTCCTGGCGTAAGTGTGATAATGACTTTATAGCACTGCCAGCCCTAGGGTCATACACTATACCTAATTAGTTCCCCAAATCTTCCCATATCTTGTGAGTTTTCTAATAAGTACCTAGTTGCTATATATTTTCTTGTTTTCTGCCAGGACCCTAACTCATATAGCATATAAATTAAATTAAAACTTATTTTCCATTCCTTTCCTAGATTCCTTATGTCATCCACTGACCCCACACATTAATATAATTACTAAAATGTGCTAGTTTCAGATATCAAATGCAAGTACAAGAGTATCTTTGTCCTTCCTTTATTTTCACTCTAAAAAATTCCTTTATTTTCAGGCCCTCTATACATCTATGGAATGAAGAATGTGTGAAATCAAAAAAGATTGATATTAAGGTAAACTGTTTAGCAAAGGTTTACAACCCTTGGCAAACTGATTACCTGGTCTTCTTAATATAGTTGAACTTATTCTCTGAGTATATAATGAATGTGCATCTTGTGGGTCCTGTTCTTCTGTTTTCTATTTCTTATATTTTAAAAGATCATTGTGGGCTTTTGTTTTGTTTATAAATGTAGAATTTCTTGTCTAACAGACTCTCCAATGGAATCCTAATATATAGAGTAAATCAAAGAGAGGAGCTAGTTCCAGTTAAAGCAGAGTTAGCACCTAGGACACATTAGGAAAATTACTTCTTAGTATCTAATACCTGTACATACTAAATATTTGTTCCTGTCATCTATTCTCCAGCTCCAAACTTTACACCATCCCAGCCCTGTGCTGAACTGACATAAAACAGTAATAAATAAACTTCTCCATTTAGCCATAAAACAGTAATAAATAAACAAAACTTCTCCATTTTGCTAACAAAGTTTGTCCTACCGATATTCACCAACATAATCAGAAACTGATTATAATGAAATCTTTGCTTGCATTTCATCTGGGCAGAAAGATTTTCAAGAAAAGTTCTTTTTTCAACAGCATTTGTAATTTCCATCTATCATGAAAACTGATTTATTTATCAAACTGATTTATCATTGAATTAAAGGTATTTACCTTAAGAACTGTGGGAAAACTTCAGTTTAGCAGAAGAATCTCCCATATTAATGTAGGGTAAATATCACTATTTGGTAAATATGATCTCCTTTTCTCTTTTACCTACTGTTTTGTAGGAACAAGCCTACTGAAACTTGGAAGTGTTTACATCATATACTATAAATTATATCTCTTTCACCTTCCATTTAATCTCATTTTAAGGCAAAAAATGTATCCTTTTTATGATATTTGGAGTATAATTCTGTTCTGCATCCATTCTTCTAACTCAGTGCAGATACTTTCTAGTTAATGGAAAACAATATTTATTTAACTAGATCTGCAGAGATCCACCAGTAGGGAGTTCTAATAGACTGGCCTTGTGAATTGAGCCATAACTCTGTGAATAGTTATTCAGTCAATAAAAATATATTTGGTTTTTGAGTTATCATCTAGCTTTTATATAGCCATCTGGTCCACAAGGAGATTTTGAACAACTTTGCAAAATGGCTTCTTGAAATCAAATTTATTATGTCTAGAGCACTTTTTAGAACTGTTAGCCAAGTAATACTGTGAAAAAATGATTACGACTAGTCTGACAGTATGTATTCCTGGTGAAGCAAAACTAGTTCATAATTATCCTTACCTTCCTTTCTAAATACGTGTAGTACTCATCAATGTCTCTTAGAAATCTGCAAAGCTTAACAGCATGGTTTAAGACCTAGCTGCTTATAATCTGAGTCTCTATACTCTTTTCCTTTAAGGGGGAAAAAAAATAGATATAGTTTCTAGACTAGTTTCTTTAGTCCTCCAGCATTGCTTCTTTCTCTTCAAAGATTCTTCAAAGATTATCATCATCAATCAACTCATTTCAACTCCAGGTTCTCTCATTCATTTATTTCAGGAAATCTTGTGAGTCAAGATGCTTAACTTTAAAACAAAAAGAAGATTTTTACTACTGTTTCTTCGCCAGTCTGAGCCTATGATTTATTCTTTATAAAAATTTTTACATTGTATTGATTTTAGGCTTACAGAAGGGTTGAAAAAAGTGGTAAAGAGCATTTCCATATGCTCTTTACCAATTTTCCCCTAAAATTAAGATCTTGCATTAATTATTCTTATAACATTGAGAAATAGTATTAGTACTAAAACTATAGTCTTGTTTTGCAGGGGAGGGATTAAACCCAGAGGTGCTTTACCACTGAGCAACATCCCCAGTCCTTTTTATTTTTTATTTTGAGACAGGGCCTTGCTAAGTTGCTGAGGCTAACCTCAAACTTGTGATCCTCCTGCCTCAGCCTTCCTGAGTTACTGTGATTACAGATATGTACTATCAGGCCCAGCTAATTATAGATTTTGTTAACTAAACTACAGAATTTCTTCTGATTTTGTCAGATTTTTCATTAATGTACTTTTTCTGTTTCAGGATTTAGTGCAGGATTCCACATTACATTTCTTTTGGAATTCCTTAGCCTCACCTTATCTTTCATGACCTTGATACTTTTACCACTATTAAAGCATTTTGTAAAACAACCCTCAATATGGGTTTATCTAATATTTTCTCCTGATTAAGTTGAGATTATATATCAAGGGGCAAATGCTTAGAAATGTTGTAGCCTTGTAAGTGCATTATAGCACGGGCACATGATGTTGGTATTTCGTATTATAAATAATATTAATGTTGATCACTTTTTTTATTTGTTGGATTTCTGCTTTGTGACATTGCTGTTTTCCCTTTGTAATTATTTGGAAGGAGAAACTTTGAAACTATGCAGATATTTTCTTTTTAAACTTTCACTGACCATTTTTAGTATTAATTGATGAATCATGTTTGCTACAGTTATTGTGGGATTCTAAAAGTGATTTTTTATTTCCCTCATTCCTTCTACATTTTATTAATTGGAATTATTCTCAAAGGAACAGTTTTTCTTTATTCATTTTAACAGCTTTATTAAGATATAATTGACATGTACTGAATAGCACATTTGTAAAGAGTACATTTTGATATTTTGACATATTTGAAACCATTACTACAACCAAAATAATGAACAAACACATAACCATCAAAATTTTTTGCATTCCTTTCTAAATCTCTCCTTCCCCATTCTCCCTCTCTTTTTCTATCCCCAATTACTATATTATTAGTTATTATTTTATGGCATTCTATATAAATGAAATAATACAGTATATATTCTTTGTTTATTTGGCTTCTTTCAATCAGGGTAATTATTTTAAAATTTATTGTTGCTGTTTCATGGATCAGCAGTTCCTTTTTTTCATAGTTATGTTCTACTACACAGATATACCACAACTAGTTTATCTATCTATTGATCTGTTTATGGATATTTAGATATTTTCCATTTTGGCTATTACAAATGACAATTCTAGCCTACCTTTGATTAATGTTAACAAAATTTATCTTTGTCCATAACTTTAGTTTTTGCATATTATATCATATTTAAAATGTAATTTTTATAGGCAGCATATACTTAGATCGTGCTTTTTTAACATAATCTGACAACCTGTGCCTTTTAATTGAAGTCTTTACATCATTTACATTTATTAAGATCACTGATATGATAAAGTTTAAAATGTTGTTTTTCTTATTTGTCCCATGTTTCCCATTTTACATTTGTTCCATTTCTTCTTTGTTTTTTTTCCTCTTTCTGCCTTCTTTTGAACTGAGTAATTTTTATGATTCCATTTTTATTGACTCATTAGCAATTAACTGTTTTGAAACTTCAGTCATGTTTTAGGTTTTATAGTATACACTTTTAACTTTTCTTCATCTACCTTGAAGTGATGTGATAGCATTTTATTTATAAAATCAACACCTGAACGAATATACTTCTATTTTCTCTCATCTGGCTTTTGTGGTATAGTTGTTATATATTTTATTTTCTTATTTGCTATAAACCTCATGCATGTTTATTTTAAATAGTCAATTCTTTTTAAAATTTTTAAATAGAAGAAAAATCTCTTACATTTTTACCCATGAAATCACCTTCATTTTTTTTTTTTTTTTTAGAGAGAGAGAGAATTTTTTTTTAATATTTATTTTTTAGTTTTCGGCGGACACAACATCTTTGTTTGTATGTGGTGCTGAGGATCGAACCCAGGCCGCACGCATGCCAGGCGAGCACGCTACCGCTTGAGCCACATCCCCAGCCCGTCATCTTCATTTTTGAAAGATGTTTTTACTATATATTGAAAAGTTTCTGGATTTGATGAAAACTATAAACTCACAGACTCAAGAAGCACAATAAATCTCAATAACAAAAAGTATGATAAAAACAGAACTACCTAAGGCACATCATAATTAAATTGCTCAAACCAATGATAAAGAAAGAATAGCCTTAAAAACAGCTGGCAGAGGCTGGAGCTGTAGCTCAGTGGCAGAATGCTTGCCTAGCCTGTGTGAGGCACTAGTTTGATCCTCAGTACCACATAAAAATAAACAAATAAAATAAAGGCATTCTGTACATCTACAATTACAAAAAATATTCCTTAAAAAAAAAAACAGCTGGCAGTAGCGATGGGACATGTTATAGAAAGAGGAACAAAGTTAAGAATCAGTTTTCTCAATGAAGAATAATGCAGGTGGGGAAAGAGTGGACCCTCATCTCTAAAGTACAGAAAAACAAAACGTTTCATCCATTATTTCTTTTTTCTTTATTAACATTAATTGTCCATGTTAATGGGGTTCTGTGTGCTAGTTACATAAATGCATACAGAATTCATTGATGAAATCCAACCACTCTGTTTGCACCACCACCACTTGTTACCTTCCCAATCCCTTGTAGTCACTACTTTCAGATTGACTTTTATTTGAGTTTCTACATATAAGACAGAGCTTACAGTACTGGTCTTTCTGTGCCTGGCTCAATTTCACTTAACATAATGGCCTCTCTTCCATCCATTAGGCTGTAAACGATTTTGTTTTTTCTGTTTGTCTGAGTAATACTCCTCTGGGTATATATACCACATTTTCTTTTTATCCATTAATTTGTTGATGGGCATCTATCAGCCATTATTTCTTTTAAAAATTATTTTTTGTCATTTGCTATCTTCTTTTATTGGAGGATTCCAATTATATATATAGTAGGCTATTTGAATGGATCACTGATGCTTTGTTCATTTTTAGCCTTCTTTTTCTTTATTTTTTCCTGTTTATTTTAGGTTTTATCATTATATCTTCAATGAGTTCGTTAATCTTTTCTTCTATTTTATCTAATGTCTTCTAGTGTATTGCTCATCTCAAAGATTTTGGTTTTCATCTTTAGAAGCTCACTTTGGATCTCTGCAAATGTGTTTTGTATATCTATTTTTTGAACATATAGAATACAGTTAGCTATTAATGTTAATT